CTTATTCGAGGGTGACGATAAAACCGTGTCCGTGGAGCGACGGAAATTATCAAATCGTTAAATATCTTCTACCCTGTAACGATACCCTAAAAGCTCAAGTCCAACCACCCAAAGAACTGTCCGGCGAAGACAAACGAGTGGACGAGTTTACGAGGTCTGAAAAGACCGTCCGTGAAAGTGGTGCCGGTAGAATAATTCCGTTACTCGGGATGGGAATCGGTCGGTGGATGGTCTGGTCTCCGGCCAAGTTGCTCGACTTGACCAACCAGGCGAGGGTGGGGATGTTTCGGTCGAATTTATTCATGGGTCGTGTCAACCCGTGGGGAGAATCCTTTTTCGCGAATTAGCCGGGTGTCGAAGCTCTAACACGCTTAATCTGTATCCAACTATGGCGATACACGTTCCGGCATATTTCCATGCCATTATGCAAAGAGGCGGCGCGCCGCGTGGGTAACATTACTTTGTACAGCCATCGACGCGTTGTGCGAGAATGAGAGAGCGGGAAACGGGACGGTGGTGGAGGGAGAGGGCGAAGGAGCGAGGAGTCGAGGTGGTTAAACCATCGTGCGTGCTCCATCGATTTATTATAATTTAAATTGTCTTTCTAAGAAGCCGACTGTACGTGCACGTACGTATATACACACGGAGGACGCGCCTTAATGCGCCGCCGTTCGTTAATTATTCCTCCGGCATCCCGTAAATATGCATGAATTATATATCGCGCGGCACGAAAGGGATACCGGGTGGACGAATGATTAATACACGCTCGCGTTTCTCCATTTTCTTTGTCTTTTTTTTTTCTCGAGATAACCACCCACGTGTTCCGTTTTTTTCCCGAAGGGGGATCGCGAGGTGATAAATTTGTCGCGTCGATAATGATCGACGAGACGTTACGTTATGTTATTTTCTCAAATCTTACTCTCTCAAATCTTTTTCCTTTTAGATCCTCATTACTTGATCCTTCCTTGAAACAATTAAAAAAAAGAAGAAGAAGAAAAATATAACAAGGAAGGAAAATCACGTTATCCCAAGAATTCGAAAGAGCGACGATCGAAACCATATACCTGACCTTCCATCCGTATCGCGTCAACGGGTCGAAAAGGAAGTTTTCTTTTCCGAGAAAACTCGTCAAAGTCGATCGAATGAACGGCGGAAGACATCGGTTCGGCCGACTAATACGTCTCTATACGTATCGATAATAAGTAACCATAGAAACTCAGTTGAATTGCGCAGTGGCGTAACGCAAAAATCCGGTAGCGAATAATTGCCACAAATTCCAATCTTCACTCCCTTCCCACCTCGCGCATTCAAACGCGGCCTCGCGAGATTGTACATTCGCCGGTGGTATTTTAAGAAAATTGACAATCCGTACCCATCCTTTGTGCACCTTTGTAATCGTACACCACCGGTATAAAAAATATTCACCGGCTTGATTGCCAATATATCGCGCACGCCGCTGATTGAACCACCTACCAACCAACCCCTTCCTCCCCTCCCTCCATCTTCTCGTGGGCTCTCTATATACCGACCAGCCAACCGTCTCCCGGCGTCGGCCTGTTAATTTGGGATATCGCCGTTCCAACAATAGAAAAATTGCGCGATACGAATTATTTATGTTTATATAATATCCACCCGATACGATACGGGAAAACGAACAATGCAATTTTTCGAACCGCGAAAAAGAGGAGGGTGGGAGGGAGGGAAGAAGGGAGGCGTGTGCGTGTGTGTGCGCTCGTTTCATCGAAGCACTCTGCACACACCACGCGCGAAAATCGTATTATCGCGGATAGAATTTCGTTAACGAGCTTCATTTCGCGAAAGAATCGCGCCACTCACAAAGAATCGGTTCGGATAACACGGATCATGGGAAATATTACGAACTCTCTCTCTCTCTCTTTCTCTCTTTCGCCGGTTCGATTCGAGAAATCGGTGACGCTTTGTCGTCGTGTTTTGTACCACGTGCGGTGTACAAAATGTCTGCGCGCATGCGTGTGTATCGAGATCTTGGCCAACCTCGTCGAATATGGTTGATTTGGTCTATTCGTGGATGATTCGTCGAATATGGTTGTTTTCGGTATATGATTGTCCCTCTCTCTTTCGTTCTCCTTTCTCTTCTCTTCTCTTCTCTTCTTTTTTTCTTTTTTTTTTTTTTTATTTTTGCACCACCCCTCCTTGTACCCTATCGAACGGCGTGTGTGTCTACCACCATTATTTCGTAGCGAAGCATTTTAACGTCGGCCAGTTGGACCGTGAATGATTATTAATCAATTTTCAGCGTTAAACGTGCCGCCGCAATAAAAAGCGTGGTACGTTAACGAACCACGCGCGTATAATTGAGCATTTTGGCGAGAATGATTGCGAGCCCGTGATAAAACCTTTGCGTGCCCGTTCGATTGATTTCGGCCAGCAAGGAGAGAAAAAAAATCGAGGCGCGCAGGTACGGGGTTGATAAAAAGGGTGGACGACTTGTGTAGTTTCGATTTCTCTCTCTCTCTCTCTCTCTCACTCTCTCTC